AGATTCCAATCGCATCCCAAGATGTCTCGCTAAGTTCTCCCATGGCAATATATGCAAATATTTAACTGTTACGTTTTTACGTCGTTTCGTACCTTTTCATTAGATCACCCCTTGTATTAAGGCTGCCACTCAAACAGGAGAATGAAATTCCCTGACTTTTCCATGTGTGTTTTAAGAAAATTCCAGTCTATCTGCGTAATGCGCGTTAGTTGTGCTAAAGGTAAATTAATTATGGTGCCACTTGCTAACACAAAAATTTGCTAATTGCATATGACTTATATACATATATATAAAGTATATTACCCAAACAATTACTATGACTACAACAGGAGTTATTTTCCATTTTCCTCAATAACTTTCATTTCCAAAAGAAATTAAATAAGTACAATGCATTCCACCTAAAACAAAATCAGAAATGAAATTTGTTGATTTTTCAATGCAATATATGAATTTTTAAACATAAGATTTTCTCCACCATTAATTGTGATAAAATTATCTCATGAATGATATTATACATAAAATCTGGAATGGAAGTTATTGTTTACAAAATGGCAGTGTGAGGCCCATTTATATCTATAATTTTTATTAATCCTATTAAATAATATATAATTGGCAAACAATCACCTCAGTGATATTTCAACATTTGCTAAATTCTGAAAGGTTAAAAAAGAATTTTTTTTTTCCTTATGCAAAACTGTTAATATAAGCATACATAATATATGTTTAACGTAAATTTTTATTAGAATTAAAAATTAAGACATTTAATATATGTCTATATATTATATTTAAGCAAAACATTAATAGAAAAAATACTAATGAAAAATAAGCACCAAATTAGATTTCTTGTTTTAACTCCGCAATTTGCAAGTCAATTGAAGAAACATCTCTGCTCAATTTTTGTTTTTTCTGTGCCTGTGCTTTCCTTTTGTCTAATACAGCCAAAAGTCTTTAATCCGGACTCGTCGGGACTTCGGTGATTCCGGATTATAGATCATCAGTTTAAATCTGGTAAGATGGCATGCAGAAATTATAAAATTAAAAACTTGAAACCGTAATTTATGAAATAAAGAACAATTATGACCTAAAGGGTATCAAAATTTACGAAAAAAAAAGCTTAATATTTATTTGTTTACTTTATTAAACATTTCTTTCAACGCGCACATGCGTAAAGCATACATTATGCATAGTCGAAATTAGAAAATTGCAACCAGAAAACTATTTGATGTGTATTCGTGATATTTATAATGACGAGGAATTTGATTTAAATCATATCAAAGACGGAGTACATCGAGATGAAATACTACATTTAGTAAGGAATTATAAGCCAAATAAAATAAAAACTTGTGCACTGAAGATAAGGATAGTGCTGACAGATCAACTTCCAGTTCATTGCATGCCACGACATCCCCCCCCCCCCCGAGCAGCGTGAAATTGATAAACAGATTTCGGAATGATTAGAGAAACAAAGGATATGCCTTTATCCATTTTTTGCAGCAATTCCACTTTTTGGTTGATGGACATCGAAACATGCTTTCGCTTTGTAGATCCTTTGAAATTCTATTTGATATAATCGAAAGTTCAAGCTTAATTTTATAAAATTGCTCTAACAGTTTGCAAAAAATAATAAGCCGGATCCAAAACTGAAATAGATAATTTTAGCTTAGCTTACATCGTCCGTTATACATTACACGCGCATGCGTAAAGGTATTATGCACATATGTAAAGGTATTACGCTACAAACTTTCTGAATGCGTTTATGCATGCTCTATTGAAAGCTTGTAGCTTTGATATAGATCATTCCGGATTATGGACATCTGGATTAAAGACTTTTGACCGTAATATTTTTTTATGTTTATTATCACACAGTTTTTTGGCTTCAAGTGCTTGGTGATATGCACCACGAGCAGATTTGGCATATCGTAACATATCAGGAGTTATATTAATATTCACCCACACCTCCATTTACTTTTATAGCATCATAAACTGTTCACACTGCTGTTAAAGAATTTTCCTGGAGATTTTCCACCAACATATATATCATTATTAACTGAAAAACCACTTTCTACTGTGGCATTGCCGTGTGATAAAATTAGAACTAGTTGTTACAACACTCCAAAGTTCTTTAAAATCTGATTTATTAATCAAGTCCTTATAAAAGTGATCAAGTCGCATTGCAGCAAAATTAACAAAAGTCTCTTTCCAAACACCCTTACTTCTGAATAATAATTCTTTAAACTGCACTTTTGATTTATCTGTAACTGTGGAATTTATCCATTCACTTTCATACAGTATATGCAGTAACCTCTCCATCCTTTTCTCACATAAAAATTCATTAGACGTAATGAGCTTAGGATCTAATGAAGAAATGTATTTAACTAAGCTATATTTCAATGGGCTTCTTTCAAATATTTTTGATACCAGCTTAACCAAAAATGTTCTGCACCGAGTTTTGAATTCTCTTTTGTTAAGATCAGATACTCTACATTTAGCTAAACTCACACCAGCAGCAATACCCACATCTATATCTGCAATATTACAATTAATGTTTTGATCCAGAATATCTATTTTTATCAGTTTTTCAGGAGATTTTGCCTCTCGCAGTGTATCTCTTTTGACAAATTTGGAGAGAAGATGACTTAGCATACTATGGAAAGTTGTATATAGAAAGGGGCACAAAGGATCAGCTGTCTGAAATGACTTTAGAAATGGATGTAGAACTCCTGCAACAGAAATTTTTTTAAAAAAGATATTTTTGCCAAAAGTAGCTTATCTTTAACAGCTTCTCTCAGTCTTTCAACTGACACAGTTTTTGGTAGTTCGGATGATTCTACATATTTTTTCACATGAGGAAAAATATCAATAGCTCTCTCAGCAACAGGTATGTTTTCACACCATCTTACTTCACAAAACTTTAGCAGGAAAAGTCGTACAGTTAGTGATGGCAATATAGTCTGCTCGCCGAGCAGGACTGTCTTTAAATACTCTATGCATATTTTTAAATAATGCACTTAAATTCCAGTCAGTAGCTTTATGGCCAGCTCTAAAGGCACCATGAACAACATGCAAACCACAGGACCCAATATCTAATATATGGCAGGCATCATTATTTGCTAAATTTTCTTTCAAATCTCTGAGGAATTTAAGATTGACATTTGGTCCATCCAATGATACTTGCAGCAATTTCTTTTTATCTAGTTCTGAGGTTCCCTCAAAGAAACTTCTCAGAAGGTCATTGGCAGATGCATGTCCCAAAAAATTGATGTGAGGTATCTTGTACTGACTTCATTCCTCACACTGTCCCAAAATCTAACAAAAAGGTCCATTTGACCTCTCTGGACAATTCTATTTAACGCTTCATTGAAGCAAATTACAAATTCAGTGTTCTTAAAATCAGAAATGAGCATCTTTTTGAAGTATGGAGCTAAACCAAATAACACTAAATATGACATTTTTGTACGTCCCAGTGTCATAGATTTAGCTTTATTGCTGTCATCAAACATTTTCTGGAACAGGACAGCAGCATCATTAAATGATAATTAAATTATAAGAAACGTGAAGAAACAAGTTTCATAGCCCACAGTAATTCTGCAGCTAAAACTTTGTCCTCAGTTACAAAGGAGTTTAAATTGGATGATTCAGCAACTAGTGCCAAAGACTGCTGTGTTTCAGAACTGTTTTTATCTATGGAGAAATAGTTTTTTTTTTTTTAAGTTTTCTGAGTTCATCTTCAGAGAAATGATTTTCTTATGTTTTACACTGTTTATGTTGCTTGTGATTGCTTTCCTTCCCATGTTACTAAGCACGATATTTTGTATCTTGCCATGTTAGGAGCTCCTTCGATAGGTTTGCAACCATGGACTCCACTGAGGATTGAGATTAGAATCTGCCCAATCTGGATTAAAAAATTTCTTTTCTTCAGACATTCTGTAGCTAAAGGAAAGAAAGAAATCTATTTAATATTTTTAAATAAATTCAAGTATTTTATACTTATTTAGCAACATACATAAGTTAAAAATATGTGCACTAAATTTTATAATGGTATGTTATCATACTGCCAGAATTAATTTCACGAGTATGCCATAGAAAATTGCCTGAAATTTGAAAGTACAGTCAAATACTGAATATCCGCCAACTCCTGAAATTCGCGTTGCCTCTCAAAATATAAACATTCAGTTTATAGGTTCCGGAAACCGCAACATTGAGTACGAAATATCGAGAAATAATACTTACTGAATAATGACGTCATAATTACCGAATAATAATGAGTCATAACGGAAATACCCAATTATTGACATAATGATAAAAGTTTTTTCTCCTCTAATCTCTGCATCGAGGTAAGAAAGCAGATGATTCACTCAACTCTTCTTTCAAGTTCACGATTCACATAGTTGTATTTTCTAAGCTTTGTTATTTCACGAGATTATTTAGTGCTGCCTTTTTTTCATCTGGATATTTTGTGAATAAATTAAGAATATTTTTAATTTCAGCCCTTTTTAATACAGTTACAGATAAGAAACACACTCATGATTTTACTGCTTGCAACGTTGAAAAACGTAAACACGTTACACTGGCGGTAATGCAAAAAGTACAAATTCTGCAAAAGATGGAGATAGGTGCATTTTATAGCAGAATCATAGGGAATTCCGATACGACTGTGTATGATATATGGAAAAATAAAGAAAAGCTGATGAAATTTTATAGCAACAGTGATTCTAACACCGGAAATCTTTGCATGAGGCGAAATCGGCAAACCTCGATGCTGTGTATATATAATACAACGAATAATATAATCAATTTATATATGTAATAATACAAGGGGTGATGAAATGAAAAGATACGAAACGACACGGTGGGTGCAAATGTACACTTTATTCAAAATATACACCATAGGCCTGAGCACAACAATCCCACTGATAAACAAGCCGCAGGATTCCTTGTTCCCAGAATTCCTGTGGCCATGTCGAGACCCAGTCCTTTACAGCATCCTTGAGTACGTCGTCCTAGTTGAAGCGCTTCCCCTTCAGGTGTTTCTTCAGTGGACCAAACACATGGAAATCGCAGAGCGACATGTCAGGACTGTAGGGCGGGTGGTTCAACGTCTCCCACTTGAACTTGGCCAGTTCCATGTGTGTGACTCTGGAGACATGTGGACGCACGTTATCATGGAGCACAACCACACCTTCCCTGAGCAGCCCTGGTCTTTTGTTCTTGATGGATCTGCATAGGCGTCGAAGTGTCTCACAGTACACATCGGAGTTAATGGTTTTTCTGTGCTCGAGGAATTCCACAAGTAGCGAACCTTGAACATCAAAAAAGATGGTGAGCAATACCTTGCCTGCTGATGGCACGGCTTTGAACTTTTTAGGGGGAGGTGATGATGCATGCTTCCACTGCATGCACTGCTTTGTCTCTGGCTCGTAGTGATTGCACCAGATCTCATCACCTGTGATGATCCACTCCATGAAAGCGGGGTCTTCCTGATACCGAAACAGATGTTGCAGTGCTAGCCCCATACGCAGTTCCTTTTGCTGGTCCGTGAGCTGCTTCGGTACCCAAGCGGCACACACCTTCCGATATCGCAAGCTGTTATGAACAATTGTCCACGGTTCCATAGCTGACATCCACCTATACCGCCAACATTTGCAATGAGACACACCAATCACTTGTCCCTAGGTCGTCCACCTTGTCGATGAGATCCCTTGTTATGACAGTGTTTGCCTGGCCTGGTCTCGGGTGATCACCCACCCTCTCAAGGCCTGCACGAAAACAGGCACTCCATTTTCTCACAGACTTGTCAGAGACACATTTCTCCCTGTAAACTGTCACCATCCGGCGATGAATAGCTTCTGGTTTCTCACCTTCCGCTGTCAGAAATCCGATAACACCTTGCTGCTCCTCAGTCGTCGAATTTTGCAATGCAAACGCCATCCTGTCCTCATACGGACTGCCGCATCATTTGGACGCCGCTTTTAATAAGAGCCTTTGCTCTCTCCTGCGCATGCTCCGATACCAGTCAGAGACTCTAATCGCATCCCGAGATGTATTGCTACGTTCTCCCATGGCGGAATATGCAAATATTTAACTGTTACGTTTTTACGTCGTTTCGTACCTTTTCATTTGATCACCCCTTGTAATTTAATGCATATAATAAGCTATTGCAATAACATACCTGCCAACCTCTAAAGATAATTAAGAAGATTTCTCCCCCAAATTCAGAAGAACATGAAGAATTAATATCATGCTTTGATATTAAAAAAATAACAATTTATACAAATAGAAAAAAGAAAATTGTACTTACATTAGTAAATCTCAATTAAGTAGTAACTAAAAAATTTATTAGGAAACATAAAACAAGAACTTAATGTTACACAAAAAAATTATTGCAATGAATTTAGAGTGCATTTTTGGCTTTAGCCAAAAATTCTTTGGAAAATTTCCTGTCATAACAATTAGTTTCCTCATAACATTTAGCAATTAAAATGTTTTCTAGAGTTTTTGGTGAAATTGAAGAACGAAACATAGTTTTGTTTTTCTTCACAACACTGAAGACTCTCTTGCACTCAGCATTACTGTGTGGAATTATGAGAATAGCACATAAAACTCTTGCTAGTCTATCATATTTTGGTGTTCCATCAGCTCTTTTTATTCTTTTTAAGGTACCAACGAGGACATCAAGTCTATCTTATCCAGAACTGGCAAAGTCTTCAAACTGTGCAGCAGAAAATTGGTTCTGTAGTTCATCTAAAGCATAATTATGACATTCATTTTCTTTAATTGTTAACAAAAATGGAAATTTATCAATGAAAAAATGAATCTTTTCAAAAGATGAATTTTCAATTTGTTTCAAATTTGCCACTTCAGCATTTAAAAGAACTTCATTTTGCAAAGGAAACTCCCTTACAATGTAATCACAGGCTGAAGAAAAGTACTTTCTAACACATTGAAAAAATTCTTTTTTCTCATGACCTTTCAAAGAATTTACAAGTTCCCTGATTTGATTTCCAATTATAAGATCATTGTCATCCGTTTGATTTGCCAAACTATTATAGACAACACGAATCAACACACTGTTTTTTACAACGGATGGTTTTACAAACTTAGTATAAAGTTCTTTCAAAAGATCATTAAGAATTTGGATAAGCAGTGGCAGATTTTGGCGAAGCTGATTGTAGAAGGGTATTTACAACTTTCAAAAATCTTAATGGTACTTAACACAAAACTACAATATGCTTTGTTCAAATCCAAGAGAAGAAGATAGAAAATCCTTTCCTCCTCGGCTAATAGAAGACTGTTTCTTCTTCCCTTCAACTTCTTTAACAAAGTTGACCTTTGAGGAGTCTTCTAAGCATTTTCTTTTTAAAGGGTTTGATTGTGTGTGTTGGCTTTTCCCTTTTAAAGCATTTTGATTAGAAGCAAAGTTGGTTTTCGGAATCTTATATGCCGACAAATTTGATGGTATCTGTGGTTTTGTTTTGGTCTCTTCGTGGAAATATTTTAGCAATGCAGCCCACTGTTCAATAAACCTTCCTAGCGCTCTGCCTAAGGATAACCATCTCGTGCACACATGTTTCAGAACTTTTCTCGTTTCACCAGAGCACTTGGAAATTCTTTAGGTTTTCTTTCCTTTTTACACTTTTTTTCCAGATAGAAAAACGCATCAATCAGAAGCTGGTCAATATTTAATGGTAAAGCAGCTGCAGCTTTTTCTGCTGCCAAATTAATTAAGTGGCATGGGCATCCAATAACAATTAATTCATTTTGTTCTTTTTTAAGGAAAGAGGCTAAACCCTTTTTGTCACCCACCATGACATGAGCATTATCTGCACCAAATGAAATGCAGTTTGATATTGGGATGTTAAGTTGTTTCAACTCATTAATTACCAAGGAGGCAATATTTTCCCCCGTAGCGTCTCCATTTAACAATGGTAGACACAAAAGATGAGTTTTCATTTCATTAGAAACATCAGAGAAATATGTGACAACGATGGGGTAAAGCTTCGAATCGCTGTCGTTGCTGCCATCGATTGACACCGAAAACGCTGAATTCTGGAGTGCAGCTATCATTTTACTTTGTGCATCGCAAGCAATTTCGTTCACAATAGAAGATGTTTTCGTGCGAGCACAAGCATATTTCTGAGAAATCTTGGAGTCGGGAAACATCCATCTGAAAAGTTGACCGGCGTGATCGGCAGCGCTTAGCGGCACGTTGTGTTCGATCAGGAATGCAGTAAACAAACACTCTGCCAAAATGACATCGGCATCCGAATTTGAAAAAAAATCATCCACTTTCGTTGACGTTGTCGAAGCCGAAGCATTAATTTCATGCTTTTTAGACTTAACATGCTTCACAATGTCGTTTCTTCCACCATGACTTATTATGAAGTCACACACGCACACGTTGCAAAATGCATAGTTATTTCCTTTGAAGGATTCTTTAATTGTTGGAAATTCGATAGGCCGAAAAAATTGAGAATACAGTTTTTTTTAACTCATTTCATAACAACGACGTATTAAGAAAATTTGTAGCACGTGCAAACAAAAAAAAAAAAAAAAAACATAATGCGACAATCCACGCTTGCTGAGTCCGAGCTGAGTAATTCCCTTGCTGCTGAAGCGAACACGAAAAAAATAATATGGCGCCCACAAAGAAAAGAGTGGGAGAAACAAGTTCAGCGCATTGGATTGGCTGGTTAAGCGGCGAGTTGGGAGAAACCGCAGGTTACTGGATTCGAAGTCATCGGTAGGTGGCGGTAAAACACAATGCAATTGGCGAAAAATTATAAAATTTCGACAAAAATCACTAAAAACACTTGAAAAAGGAAAAAAATCGTAAAAAATGGATTACGATCATAAAATCGTAAAGACAAATAATGTATATAATAATTTAATTTAATATATCTAATACGCCTTATTTATTTTGCACTTTTAGTCTGAATATTATGACTTATCTTTTCTGTCCTGAAATCCACAAAACCCATACAACCTCTGGTCCCAAGCTTTGTGGATTTCTGGACTTCTACTGTATTAACTAATAAAAAATAATTTTAGAAGGAAGAAGCAACATTAAATGACATGAATAACAATAAAATAAAGTCAATTAATTGAAGATTAAAAAGTGAATTACAATAATTAACGGTATTTTGCCGAATATAGTTATATTGAATGGTTAGCCAAGATGACTTGTTATTACAGTACGAAGTTTTTAATCTGGACTCGTCGGGACTTCAGCGATTGCGGATTATAGATCATCAATTTAAATCTGGTAAGATGGCATGCAGAAATTATACAATAAAATATGAAACTATAATTTATGAAATAAAGAGCAATTATGATCTAAAGCGTATCAAAATTTACAAAAAAAAGCTTAATATTTATTTGTTTACTTTATTAAACATCTCTTTCAATGTAAGTTGTTTAAGTTGCTTCATTTCTTGTGCTAATACTTTCTCTTTAATTCTATAAACAGACATAATTTCTTGTTCAGTTCCACTGTTCAAGTCCTGTAATTGCCGTGTCGAGAATACCGACTAACTTGCCAATCGAAATTTTTTCGTTTTCAATAAAATCTCTGCCACTTTCTTCACTATCGGAAACGGTACATTGAAACATGCTTTTGCTTTGTATATCCATGCGCAGAGAGTTTGTAGCTTTGAGGTCCGGATCATGGACGTCTTGATTAAAGACTTTGTACTGTATTTTGTTTAATTTACTGCAAAATAACAAGGCATTTATACAAAAGAAAAATGTTTAAAAGATTTTGTTTTGTACGAGCATGAGGGATGGGCACAGCAAAATTGGAAATTTCATGCAAGAGCAGGATTGATTACTTATTTTTACTACATGAAGTGTATAAAAAAAGGGGACTAATATTTAATGTTTGTTTCTGAATTCGGCCACAAGTTTTATCACCGTTTATTTCTCAAAAATAAATTTTAAATGTGAATTATTTAAAAATTTGAAACAACAGAAAACCGAATTCAGAAAAAAAAAAAAGACGAGGAAAAAAAGAATATTTTGCCATTTCCAAAACAAAGTCAAATTTTTAATGAAATTTATAAGGTATCAGATTTTTTTTGCGTAATTTCGAAGTTCGATAATCATAATATATACACGCCGCCAACAATGTTGAAAAGCTTAACAGTTAAATTGGATTTCTTTAATACTGCACAAAATATGATTCAAAAAGCAACAATAAACTTCTTTTAACTGCTTGCCTGATTATCCCAAATTATCTTGGGTTTGTATACATTGTAGTTAATTATTATCCCGAGAAAACACGGGCGAAGCAGAATTTGTTAGTACGATTTCTTTTATCATGGTTTTACTCGGTCTGGAGGAAATGAAAGGAAATATTTAGCTTTGATTGGCAGTTTGCCAAATTTTGTTGGTTGCGCGGTTCTTTTGGAGGGACTGGTCGCGTGTTTCCCTATTGTATAGTATACGTTGGCTTGTGGATTAGTAATGTATAAAGAAGGATGCATGCGTTGGAAAAAAATAAAATATTGGCGATCATGGAAGATAGCGAAAGCGATGATTTTTCAGATATTGATTATGAAAAGGTTGGGAAAAAAATCAAATCCAACGAGACAGTGTACTCTGTGCTCCTGTGAAAGAGATTCCGGCGGTAAGCCAGCAAGAAAAGAGACTAGATACCAGTGTAGAACGTCAGGTATCACTCTGTGTTGTCCTTTGTTTCAAAAACTATCATACAAAGATTAATATTTAACTTTTTTTCGTTTGCCCGAGATAACTCGGGATAGTAAACTAATATTAAAATAAATGCTTTTACACCTTCAAAAAATTACAAATTCAACTTAAAACCTACATATTTTGGTTTGTTTCATTTTGTTGTATTTAATTATAAAATAAAAAAATGTGATGATGTTTTGCAATTTTTTTCAAAAAAATTTGTAAGGGAAACGGTTAACTCTAAAAATGCACTGCATGAATTCTTATCGTTTTAACAAGCAAATATGAGATAGAGTGTTAAGTAAACATATAATAAAAAAGTTAATAAGATGTAAAAGATTACAGAATTTAACTTACCAGACTTTTTAACTTAAAACAGAAAAACGAGCTCTCTTAACCACGAGGCAGAACTTCAACTCTTTCTTCCGTTCCACATGGGCATGCGATTCTTTGGGCGAGAACCTGAATTCAAGAGGTTACTGGAAACTTTCTTTGCCTAACTGAAAGACAATCTGATTGGCGCTGCAAAAATTGGCTCTGCCCGAATGACGCGCACACGATACATAATTCCCCAAGAACGTGATCACTTTCAACATTGGCGCAAAAATATCTTTTTGGGGGATCGCTGTTATGAAATTCCCCGACTTTTCCTGGTAGCATGGCAACCCTGTTATATGTTTTCTGTATTTTTTAAACATTAATAATAATTTTCGTATTTGTTAACAATAACAGTGTTTTAGGTTCCAAAAATGAAAACATCATTGCGATTTTTGTCATTCCAGTCATTCTGCACATTAACCGAGTATTTAAAATGTCGAGAGCATTATAAAAACCTGTTACTTTAAAAGACATTTCAAAATTTTCAAGCCTGTTATCCTCACATGACTCATCAAAAATTTTTTTGGCTTCATTTTTCAAATTTGCTGCTTACCTAAATTTACCAGTGAGATTTGTAACTAAATGAATCAGTTTAATCACTAATAGCAAATATCACATCCATCCTCTCCCTTATATTATTTATTAATAGGTCAATAAAATAGAAAATAACTATTTATTAATGTGTACAGTCCATAAATAAAAATAATAACTCAACTTGTCATTAATTTTTTTCAATTCATTTAAATTTTATTTCAAATTCAAACTGTCGATGGAGGAGTCAACCTGTTTTTAGCGACTCCACAGCCCTGCTTCCTAATCTTGACCTTGAAAGATACAAGTACTTAAAAGGTCATGTATGACCTTCCCTTATTTCCTAAAAGACTACATGTGAGGCAGATTTTATCCCAGCATGTGTGTTGATGGATTAAAATTGCAACACCATGAAGGAAAGCAAATACAAAAAAAGGTATTTATTGCACATAAACAGTATGGCATGAAGACAAAATGATTAAATTTGTAAGTATTTTGGAGGTTTACAGTGGTGCAAAATTAGTAGAAATAGCTGCCACCCTGGCAGCTAAAACAGCACTTAGGAATGTAGTCAAACTGGGCTTGGATGACAGAAATGCACAACTCATTCTATGCCACACTTCATCAAACCTATTTAGCTGGAGACGGGTGCAGACTAATCTGTCAGCAACCCAAAACCAGATGTTTTCGATGGGTGACATATCTGGAGACAATGCAGGCCAGGACAACAATTGAATCACACCATGTGCAGGGGCCTTATGCCGATATCAAATGCAGGCAGGTGACATGCAGTCTCCTCAGACACATATACGACCATCAGAATACTGCATGTAGAATTGGGACTCATTTGGAAAGGCAACATTGTGCCACTCCTGTACCCAGCTTTGTTGTTTGGTACACCAGAGTCGCTGTCTCCCTCTATGCTGCATTGTCAAGGGAAGCTGAAGTAATGGTTACTCTGTTGTTAGTCGACATTGCTGCAAACGTTATCAACCTTACGAGTTGATGCTGGGTGTGCTGCAAACATGCCCACTTCCTTACTAATGCTCCATAATATGGTTGTACGATTTTGCTGGGTTGACCTCATAATATGTCTGTCCTCTCTGCCATTAGTCATGGGAGGGCACTGAGATCCTGCATGTCATTCAGTATGATCCTCACCAATCCATTGATTCCATCTTCACATGACAGTGGTTGGACGTTGACCAGTGGGACCGGGGATATCATGGAATGATAATCTACACTTTTGATAGGCAACGTTCCTGCTTCTATCGCATTTTGAAACTTACTGGTACATTTCCTCTCCTTTCTCCTATTCGAGGCATAACACAATATTCTGAGCAAACTCCATCCTTACAAAGCACTTCCAAATAAAGAAACCACAAGACAACTTTTATGCAATGCTTTAGATGTCGTTTCTCCCTTCTGCATCATCTAAATGCACCGAAATACTAATTATTTGCATATCTCAACTTCTTTCATGTGATTTTGACAATTTTCAGATCATTCCTTTCTGGTGTCGCAATTTTAATGGCCAGCAGTGTATGTTTGTATGTATGTAAGTGTGTATACACCATATAGATTACACATACATTTCTGAATCTCTTCCCAATAACAGAACAGTACATGTATATAAATATATATGATTTTTTGGTAAAAGTATATTTTAGGGTACCCTTTGGCAAAACTCGGTGATTTTTGGCAGTTCATAGATACCTAGTTTGTGCAATTCTTTGACTTGTTATTTTGGCCTGCGTAGCAGCGATTTTTGGCGCAACAATTGCCGCTACACAAGCCAAAATAAGAAGTCAAAGAATTGCACAAACTCGGTATCTATGTACACATCGATCTATTTTCACTTTAAAAAGTATCAGATAATTGCACAAACTGTGCTTTACGTACTAATCCCTTGAGTTTGTCGATATATTTTCGCTTAAAAAGTCAAAGGAGCACCCTATCCTACGGTAGAGGCAAACAAAAAAATACATAATCTCAATAAACTATCATTTTAAACCAAGCAATAAAGTAACATGAAAAAGGAAAAAAAAAAAAAAAACTTATGTACTTTAGCACTACACAAAGAAAATATCCCCTTACCTTATTTAGAAATTTGTTCGTCTTCAGTCTATGGTACACAAAATTCCTTAACAGCATCCAAAAACTTCCTAAAATTATCTGAACTACAATCCGTGTATCGGCATCGCCACAGAAATTCACAAAAGTAAGAGTAAAAAATATACTACGTAATTCCAGACCATGGCTACTAAGTAAACCCGCATTTACAGAATTAATTCATCAATTAATGCAGTTTTCCCCTTCCATTCCAAATCATACAGAAACTTCAAATTAATCCTACTACATTCAGCCATTGTACTGTCTAATTGATGAAATAAACAAGCAATGTACTTCCTAAGCAACACACATCATAAAAGCCCTCGCAAAACATCCTATGATTCAAAATTTCCCAGAATAATGCAAACGATTACATCATAATAAGGTTTCTATAACATTCAACTACTCAGGTTACCATAATTGATACAACAACTTGGCGATAAATGAAAATTCACGATAATAGTACCGTCAACTCTGATCTTTTTTTTTTTAAATAACAATCTATTATTACTACATAATTAAAATCTGAAACTACAATCACTAAGTTTAAATGTAATTAGTAAAAACGTACTCATATATTTAAAATATATATATATTAGTGTTGTTGCTTCAAATGGCCAGACACTTGCATTCATCAAGAATGGCTAATATGTATTTGTCCTTTTGACAGCTCATCAACAAGAATATTGCCCAATATATACTTTGCTTGGCACGAGGAAGTTGTTTCCAATTTTGACGGACAGCATCCCAGGAGATTTATCTGATGATCTAATACTCTTCTTTCCCTCTCGAAGACATTTTCAACTCATGAACATTTTGTGTGTACATTTTTTATCATAAATGTATACTGAATAATGCATTTATCAAATTTATCAATTTGAGTAAAGCATTAAATTTTCTCAGAATAGTTTCATTATAACTCATAATTTCTATCAAAATCTTATAAAAAATTTTGTGACATACTGAATAAAACATTTTATTGCATCTTTGGTATCTCAAATGTTGCTAAATACCTGACTGTTAAAATTTACTAAACATCTTAACATGGTTAAAGTCCCCCACCCTATATATTTGCTACATAATATATCTTAGGGTCAGCCTTCCTGAAGTTTAAGAAAAAGTGTTAATAACAGCAATGGCAGTTTTTTAGAAACTAGATAGCAGAAAAATTTTCTTAAGAGATTCATATACGAATGTGCAAACGTTTTTAGAAAATTATAAAACTTCAAAGCATAATATTGAGATTAAATCAAATGAAAGCAAGCATATTTTAGAAACTCTCAATGTTGTTATAATAATTACATTTTATGCCGAAATCATGTCATATAACAATTTAAAATCATAAGCATATACTAATATAGTAATTATATACAAATCATTCATACTGACACTTTCACAATAACTTTACATAAATCAAGATGTTCACACACTAACAGACAGTAAACTTTCACATATCAAGATGGCAACAGCTTTGCTTTTTTTTTAAGCTCTTCATCTACACTATCTTCCGCGGTTCGTTTCTTAGCAGTTTCGATACCGCTAGTTGTTTCTGAAATGTTTGGCACCTTACAGGCTTTAATAATCCAACCTTGATGTTTCGGAATTTTACATATACCGCTTACAGACACAAATCCACAACCTGTTTTCCGTCTTGTATTTGCGTGAGCCAGAACAAGTTTGCCATTTTTTCGCACCGCAGAATTTGCTTGGTTTGTTTTGAAACCAAACAAATAACCTAAATTTATAACATCTTCTACAGTTCTCAGTTCTAGTGGTTTAGTTGCACCGCTAGAAATAATAACATTTTTGCTTTTTGAAACATGTACTAAAAGCTGAGAATTGCTTATAGTCAGTCTCTTTGATGTTTGATCTCGCAAACACGGCGAATACTGAATTTCGAAAGACATACTTTTTTCGATCGCTTGCCCTATGTATGTTCGTTTCAATGAATAGCCCATGTCTTCTGTTAAATTTAAACTAATAATATCAACATCAAGCGTTGAACAAATATGTTGCAACATTTTCTCATTAACCGGTTGCAGTGCTAGAAGATCATACTTTTTCGGGATAGGGCTCTTCAATAAGTGATGAGCATGTATGCCATCTTCAATAATTGCAGTCAGCCGATTCACAATTTTAAAATTACGACAGTTTTCAGCAGTAAATGTCACAGTCTTGGGCTCAGGAATCGTAATATTTTTTCCAGATAAAACAGAAGAGTCTATTACTGTATTTATCGCTACACATTCGTATCCAAAATCATAAGCTCGATGCAAACAGTCCGTTATATGATCGTTTTTTAAATCTTGCGTTCTAATTATAATATTTAAATCCATAGAACTTCCCGGCAATTTTTGTGCTCAGCAAAATTTTAGTTTGAACCATATACAAACACACTACCCACAGAAAAAATCATTTTGCACGTGGTATCAAAGAAGCAGAGTTATTGTTTTGCAACCGCTAGGTCTTTTTGCCTTCAGAATAAAAAATCAAGCTTCAGTGCGAGGCAAAGCAAATAGAAAGAGGCAACTTTGTTTGATAAAAATGTTTTAAGTGAAAAAGTAAAAAAAATGGTGGACATATTTATGGACATAAGTAAGGTAGGAAAAAAAGCAGAAGCATGAAATAACCTAACTTTGAATATATCCTTCAACCGAGTTCAACCGAGAAATATCACTATACTCCGTGAGTTCAACAAAGTGTTAAAAAATGAAAAAGTCCATTGAACCTGTCATCTCATAATGAAGTCTTTAATGTTCTGTTGTATGTTGAGAGATGCATTGAAAATAAGCTAACATAAGCTAAATAAAAAGAGGTTTCAAAAAGTGGGAATACGTCGTTCCAGTTATTGAGCACTTCTGAATATTAATTTCTCATCATATGCAAAAAAAACTTCTGATCAGGAGTGTCGCGCTTTGAAACCTGCAAGTGTGCTTGAGCTAGTTGAAAGCCAAAAAAATGGATAAGGTTCGGAGAACAGCCATAACGCCAAAACGGGGAGAAACAGCTTATTATGGTAGACCACGTTATGGTTGTCATGAATCTCATGAAGTCATGAAGTATCTCATGAAGTACTTCTTCTAGGAGGACAACGTGATACTTTTTCCTTACTAAGGGATTATCCGTAGCAGCAGATCGGGAGACGTATTCGGAATTTACGAAACAGAGATTGATTTTACTGCAGACCTTGTCAGCCAATTAGCATCACTGCAGTAGAGACTTTCTGAAAAGCTTTCAAAGTATATGCCAATCACTTCTTTGTCATTGTGGTGCATGTATTGCAGTTAGTAACAGTTCATCTGAAAATTCTGATAAAATATCAAGCATTATTTCTTGTAAATACAGTCAAAAGTCGTTAATTCGGACACCCATTATCCGGAATGATCTATAATCCGGACCTCAAAGCTTCAAACTTTTTGCGCATGCGTCGCGTTGACGCATGCGCGTAAGGCTTTTACGGCTGAGAATATGCTTGTGCGCGTGCGCAAAATACGTTTACGAATGCGCGTTTAATGTATAACGAACGGTATAAGCTAAGCTAAAATTATTTAATTATCTATTTCAGTTAATGTTTCAGATTGCGTTGTTCCTTAATTTCAAATTGGATCCGGCTTATTATTTTTTGCAGACTGTTAGAGCAATTTTATAAAAGTAAGCCTGAACTTTCGATTATGTCAAACAAAATTTCTGATATATATTTATTAATATGTAAATGATGTACAAAGCGAAAGTATGTTTCGAAGTTCATTAAACAAAAAGTGGAATTGCTACAAAAAATGGATAAAGGCATATCCTTTGTTTATCTAAACTTTAACGTTTGTTTATCTAAACTTTAACGTTTGTTTATCTAAACTTTGTTTATCTTTAACGCCGCGGCGCCGCGCTATGAATTGGAAGTTGATCTGTCAGCACTATCCTTATCTTCAGGGCAGATGTTTTTATTTTATTTGGCTTATTCCTTATTAAATGTAGTATTTCATCTCGATGTACTCCATCTTTGATATGATTTAAATCAAATTCCTCGTCATTATAATTCGCTTCCGATAGCGAAGAAAGTGACAGAGGTTATTGAAAACGAAAAAATTTCGATTGACAAGTTAGTCGGTATTCTCGGCACAACAATTAACGGGACTTGAACAGCGGAACTTTGTAACTGAACAAGAAATTGTGTCTGTTTATAGAATTAAAGAGAAAGTATTAGCACATAAAACGAAGCAACTTAAAACAACTTACATTGAAAGAAATGTTTAATAAAGTAAACAAATAAATATTAAGCTTTTTTTGTAAATTTTGATACCCTTTAGATCATAATTGTTCTTTATTTCATAAATTACGGTTTCATATTTTTAATTTTATAATTTCTGCATGCCATCTTACCAGATTTAAACTGATGATCTATAATCCGGAATCGCCGAAGTCCCGACGAGTCCGGATTAACGACTTTTGACTGTATCTATGATTAAAATGGCATTTTATTCTCTATGTTCTTTGCACTTAATATGTTTCTGTATTCATGTTTCACATTACACAATACATTGTATTGCGAAAATTATTACTCAAGTCATGCTATATTATACCTTAGAGGGTTGACTATAGAGGCAAATAAAAATTAAATTTTATGTATATTAGGAATAGTATTTATATGATAGTTGAATATAGAGTTCATATCATAAGTCATATACATAACTACCTATCAAAATGTTTTGCAATGAAATTTATTATACCCCTTTTTACCAAATAAAAACAAAATGAGGCATTTAACACCTGTAAGCTATATAAATAATGAGGCATAGAAACTCTGTAAGGCATGTAAATAATGAAACATGTAAAATCTGTTATTTATGTTATCAGGACTGGTATTCCTCTTTACTTGCTTTGGAAACATTAACTGTCCTGATTCGGAACAGTGAGCTTACTGAAGCTATGTTCAATAAATTGTGAAGTAGACAATACACACAGGAAGGGTATACGAAACCCTTTATTTTTCTCTCTTTACAATGATTTCCGGACTTCGGAATACAGAGACCAACCACTTGTGGTCTGAACGTAAGAATATAAAAATATTAACTAAAACTCTAACTAAACTAACTTTGGATTAAGAAACAAGTGCCTAACTCCAAGATTGGCCGTTAATTAACAAAAAGCCGTATGTAGTACAGAGAGCTGCTAAAACTACGATACGTTTAAAATTATCAAGAGGATTAAACCTCTGGCCTTGAAGGCAACCAGCAACCGAATAAAACTACTATGGCAAGCGGCCTGCTTCTAATAACTCCTTCCTTCTCTTGCTGGCAAATTAAGTACATACTTTTTCAAGTTTGACTTAGTTTATAAATGTAAGAGCAAATACAGTTATTCAACTAATATGTTTAACAATAATATTGATTCTAGATTAGCTAATTGCCCCCCCTTCTTGAAAAAAAAACATATAATGCATAGGACATTTTACAGAATTACAGCTAAACTCAAATTACACACTTTTTAATTTTCTTATTTAGTAATAGTTTGACTTATTTTATTGTGATTTTTTTTTATTTGACTTGGTCTGCATGATTTGTTTATGGCAAAGTATGTGACAGCTATTTGCATAAGCAGAAGCATGCTTTCATAGAGGACTTTCTAAAAGACACTCACTCGTATCCTCATTACACATGCAGCCAATCTGTTTACCTAGAATTGCAGTCAGGTCAAACTACCAGCTTTGAGCAACTTTACTGCTCAAGCACTGGTGGGCACATTTTTGTTATGATGGAATAAATTTTTGCATTGTATTTTTACATTTTTCTTTGAAACAGTTATGGACTTATTTTCTGTTTTTAAGCTGTGATATTGAGACTATTGTGGTGTCATTTTGCAAATGACTTGTATTCATACATGTGCCCCCAATAATACTTGTGTAATTAAAAACTTGCTCAATGCTTATTATGCAAAGTATTCAGTTTAAAAGTGTACCCTTCATAAAAATCATAATTGTACACATTCATAAGACATACCTTGTATATATCATACATTCAGGTTTCAGCCTTAGAAGGCCAGCGAGTGATGTTGTTCCATTTGGAAAGATTGATTGGAATGAGCCTGTGCGTGAATACTTCATAACAAGATAGATACTTCATTTACTGAAGAATACTACTGAATTATATAGATATTGAAACTATCAAAGTGGTAGTACAAGAATTGGATCAGAGTATGGAATCATTAATCAAGGGATACTATGTATGGCTCCATAGATTGATCTTTGCATAAATTCACCTTTGAAAACTGCCAAAAATATTTAACAAAAAAAAAAGGGGGAGAACTCTTAATGTTATGCAATGAAAGGAATGGGTTTTTATTTCTATAGCAGGCTACACTTCCTGACAATAGATAAATTAAGTACACAAAGTAATGAAATCTTGCATCTTAAAAGGAAACCAGATACTTTTTCTGGTAGTAATGAAGAAAATCTGAAGGTATTCATTCCTAAAGGTTTTCTAAAATTGCCAGAAGAAAACTTCCAAAAAATGCTACTAAATATGTAACTAGTAAAAAAAAAAGGTTGTCATCTTGATTCATCTAAACCCCAAGATAGCAGTCAGCCTTCTACAAGTAACCCAGATAATCCTAATAGTCAAACAGAATTTGTCACCTCAACCTAGTTCAGTTTCATGTATCAAATCTCAGAGAAGGCGTGAATGTCATATTCTTTCTTTCTGGCATGTAGGCATTTGAATTCTGCTGAAGCAAAAGTTTCCTAGAGCAGCCGATGATAGAAAAAGATAAATACAAGACCATTGGCTAATGAGTTGCACTTTATTTTGCATACACAATCTTATGCTTTCAAATATATTTTCATTTCAGAGCACGTTTGCCAAAATGGGACCTTCATTTATTACTTAATTATCATTTATTATTTTAAAAAATTGTATTTATTACAGAATTTCAAAATTTTAGTGATCAGTTTATTAATTAAACTTACTTAATTTTTACAAAAGTAATTATTGAGATATCTCAGGCTATTATAAATCTCAGTATATCATAAATTTTAAGGTATGTATATATCTGAAACTGTTAATAAGAAATTAGGCACATTCACATTATGTAACTAAATTCATTTCATAAACTTGGTATATTTTTTAATATATTAGAGGTATTTTGAACTGTGAGTCATAATTGGTTTGGTTTAGTTGATTATTGCAAAGCAAACTAGGGTTCTCTTTCTAAGGGGAGGATGCCTTTCGTGGAGGACTTTTCTCGGGGAAACTAGCTCATATACATGGTACAGGTAGGGAAAACCATGAAAACACCCATGCAGCCAACCCAATTCTTCTGAAATCGAATAGGAACTGCCCGTATTCAGTGATTTTTTAACCACTCAGCCACTGGTTACCTGTGAGTTATAAGACATGTGCTGTCATTTACACTGAGTAAAATAAATTCTGCTTTATCATAATTGATGACAC